CAGGGAGCCCGATGCGGGACTCGATCCCGGGACTCCAGGATCATGACCTGAGCCGAAGGCAGTCGCTTAACCAGCTGAGCCACCCAGGCGCCCTAAATTAATGGAAATTTAAAATAAACTTGTTCAGTTCTTCAGTTGCACTAGCTTCTTTTCAAGTGCTTAACAGCTGTATAGAACATTTCTATCATCACCAAAAAACTCTTTTGGACAGCACTGCTCTGAGAATTCCTGTACTAGAGAAACCCAATGCTTTTCAATCTTACTGGTCAATAGGAATTTTTTCAAGTATAATACATAAAAACATTACATGGAACATAGTTCGGGTGATGTTCTATACAGAGAAAAAATTTTAATGACAAAGAAACAGAATCACTTTCCTTAGGATAAGACCAGAGTTGCAATTCCAGAATTGAGGGGTATACCAGATGGCCTTCCAAAAATTTTGTGATAAGTGGAAGTCACAGTAGGAGCAAGGTGCAGATTACATTGAGAGGGTGGGAGCTACTTCCATGAGCCTTAACATATGAAGACTATCACTTATGATGTAGGAACCAATGTCAAGAAATACTAGCATAAAAGGTAGTGACTACTTGAGCAAATAATGTAATTTGTGAAGATACCCCAGTTTTGTTTAAAAAAATAAAATAAAATAAAATTCCAGTCAAAGAAAGATCACTACAGATCAAACACAGAATTGTCAGGAACTGCAGAGAAGTATTTTGGGAGTGCCCATGAACATAATAGATAAATTTCTTATCCTCCATTCCATAGGAGTGAAGTCTATAAGAACCATTATGAGATCTATGTACACTTGGCTGTTTTTCTTATGCATCATAAAAATTCAATTCATTGTTGTATCAGTGTCAAGTTCTGAAACCTGAACAAGGCAGGTCTGAAAACTGGTTTTCTGCTCCTTTTGCAATGGCTCCCACTTTTTATTTCTATGTGGCCAGGACTGATGTGGCTGGGATGAGCCAGTACTGAGGCCTGCTGGTCAAGAAGGGGATCCAAATTCCATGTTAGGGTTTTTAGCAGGTGTGCCTTTGCTTAAAGGCCTTAAAAATGTTTTTCACTGGGGCCCACACCCACTGTTGGCAGCCATATATATGGTCTAATACTTGATGTTCCTATTTTTTTCTTCTTTAGAACCTCCTAATTCTCTGGATCTTAACGATGCTCATCCTCGGAGAATCAAACTCACAGCCCCAAATATCAATCTTTCTCTGGATCAAAGTGAAGGGTCTATTCTCTCTGATGATAACCTAGACAGTCCAGATGAAATCGATATCAACGTGGATGAACTCGATACCCCTGACGAAGCAGATTCTTTTGAGTACACTGGGCATGGTAAGTCACCAAGTTGTCAAGGCCAAAGTTATGTGAAAAGTGAAAGATTATCTAAGTGGCCCTGGGAACAATCCTCCTATTTTGTTGCTGGTGGCTCCTTTCTGTGATTTCTAAAAGCTTTTGTTTGTATCTCAGGTCATAGGTGGCTGTGATTGACAGTTCAGAATATAATAGAACAGGTATGGTTCACAGAGATCATACATACCCACTGCTCCTTTGTTAAACGCTTATTCTTGGCAAGCCTTGTGATAAGCCCTGGGGTTGCGGGAAAACTATTACATGCTGTGTTGTAAGAAAATTGGGGCTGGGTTTGCAGAGAAAGAGAATTGAATCTGGAAGATAACATTTGGAGCAGAAAAATTAGAGCTTACTAATTTCTCTGTACAAGCTCCCCCTGTCTGGAATGTTCTTCCTTGAAGATCATTCATGGCTGGCTCCTTCTCTTTATTCAGATCTTAATCAGATGTCACCTTCTCAGAGAGGCCTTCCTTGACCTCTGTCACCAAAGGAGCTCCCCACCTCCCAACCTAGTCACTTTCTATCCCTCTACTTATTTTATTTTCCATGTGTCAGTAATTGAAATCCTATCATTTAACTATTTGGTTTATGTTTATTGTCTTTCCCTTCCCACTAGAATATCTGCTTTGTGAGGGCAGGGACTTTATTCTGCTCATTGCTATATCTCCCGTAAAATAGAAAGGAAGGAGGGATGGCCTCGGGGTGAAGAACAAAAAGGAAGACAAGTAAGAGTTGCTGGATCAAACACTGACACTCCTGATAGGAATATCAGTCTCACTTTAGTTCTTCCTCTTGCTCAGTAAAATTGGGTTTGTTAAGAAATTATATCCAAATACAAAGCTTTTGCTTTATAAAATGGCATTCCATAGTTTCTAGTTTACAGGGTGGTATTCTCTGACTTTGTAATATTTGAAATTCAAAGCAGCAATATCCTGGACAAAGCCATTGCTTTTTTATACATTAGGAAAATTATTATGGTCAAAAAACAAATGCCACAATATGCAATGATGTCCTGACACTTACACAGTGTCATTCCTAGGAGAACATAAGTAGGAAATTAGGAAATTCATCAAATTCGCTCATTAATTCAACCAACGATCATTGAGCCACCAGGACTACCACCATGACCAGCATGGATTCAGACCCTGCCTTTACAGAGGCTAAGCCTTAATTTGCCCAAGTCAAAAGAACGGGAAATGGCTAAGCTACCTGTGTGACAGTTTCTTCTGTTTAAGTAGAGATTTTATATTGCACCGTGGCCGTGTTCTCAAATTTCTGCAGTCATCTGGGTATTCGACCCTGTAAGTGGAAAGACACAAAGAGAAGGTGAAAGGTCTTGAGTTCATATTCTTTCCTCCCATCCCCGAGACTCTTCCCCAGCTACTCCGTCCACCCCGGCGGCCCCCGGCTGCCCCAGCCCTTGAACTGCTAATACCTTCCCACGTGAAAGAATCCTCCCTTGCCTCCCATCCCACAGAAGACAGCTGCAGCGTGAGCTGGCCCCTCCCTCTCTCCCCCTGCACTTCCCTGTGCCCTAGAGAGAGCCATGTCACACCACATGGGAGCCTTTTCTGTTTATAAATAGCAAAACTGCCAAGCGACGTGGTGGTAGCTGAGCGAACTGGTAATTAAAGCTGCCCCTGGCTGACACAGTTCCTTTATTCCGTCGACACAGTTTTGTTGAAGGAACCAGTTTCACAACCACAACCCTACATTTAGGTCTTAAATTCAAAGGATGGAATTTTAATGTAAGTTGAATTGTAAAGCCCACCTTGATTTTCAAATGACAGATGTATGGTCAGATGCTGTTTTAAACCAACAAAAACATTAAGCTTGGAGAACACAAAGGGCATCTGAGTAGCTTTATTTTGTAAACAGGCAGCGATAGATAACAGACTCCAGAAGAGAAGTGAGTTCATTTTAGTCCCAGAGTATGAAATCAATGCTTGAAAGCAGGCATGTTTGTGGGTTTCTTGTGTGAGCATTTGGAACCAAGTGTATACATCCTAAACAACATTGGAGTTTTGGAGGCACTGTGTTTCAAAATGTTTGGTCAGTGATTTCTTTAATGAACCCTTTCCAAGTGCTTACTGTGCACCAGGATTTGGGCTAGGTGCTTTATAAATATTAAGTATATTAATCCTCAGCTCGATGAATGTCAGCTCTATGGATAGGTATCCTGTTTACCCCATTTTAAGATGAGAACACTGAGGCACGGGTTAAATGATTTACCTCAGGTCACATAGCTAGTAAATATCAGAGCCAGCATTCAAACCCCAAGTTGTCGTCCTTGACTTCTGGGCCATGCTGCTTCTCCAGAGCATACTGACAATGAATAGGAGACGTCTTTTACAAGATGAGGCTAACACTCCAGAAGCCAAGCCCGATGTCCCTACCCGTACATTTATTTACATGCCCTTTTACCCGGCCATTTTCCTGATTTCAAGGCTCTTACTTTACCAAGCACTTGAAGAACTTTCATGCCATTTGCCTGTTTTATTCTGTAGCTGATGACCAAGCATTCCTGGCAGATTATTTGCCCACAATGTGGTTTTGCTTATGAAATGTTTTTTGAATCTCACTCTCAAAAGACATTAAATCGATCTCCACTTCCAAGCAATTTTCTTTAATAATCACGTCCAAATAGTTGGAAAATACCATTCAAAGTACCAATATAATTAAAGCTTGACTTCCTCTGGTACTTAAGTGCCAGAGATACCAAAAACATGTAGATACTGAAGGATTTAGGAGGTCAATCTTTCAAATTAAGGGAGATCTGAGCCTTCTTATAAAAAAAAAATTATTTATTTAATACTAGTCCTAGAAACTTAAAAATATCCAAAGGTGAGAAAAATGATGACCTATTTCTGTTTTCCAAACCCACCTTAGTTATTTTTTTTACCATAACTCAGATCTCAGCAAAAGCATTTCATAGGGGAAATGGAAAAATGATAAAGAATTCTAGCCTGAATATTTCTGATAAGGATGTTGTAAGAAACACTCATGTGCTTTTATATTTTTTCCTCCTAGGCTCCTAAGTGATGGTTAGTGACCTCATTTAAGCTACCTTTTCTTTTTTCTTTCTTTCTTTTTTTTTTTTAAGATTTATTTCTCTATTTGAGAGAGAGAGAGAGCATGTGAGAGCGTGGGGGGGGGCAGCAGAGGAAGGTGGGGAGAGAGAGAATCTTAGGCAGGCTCCACGCCCCACACATCACCCAACTCGGGGCTCGATCTCACAACCCTGATATCATAACTCAAGCCAAAGTCAACAGTAGGATATTTAACCGACTGAGCTGCCCAGGCACCCCTAAGCTACCTTTTCTAGAACCCCTAATAACAAACAGTTAACAGGGTGAATAAGGTGCTCCACCATTTTCTCCAGACAATCAGGCAGTCACTTCATTTAACTTCCCCACCTACCATGTTCCACTGCCCTTAACAGCCTTCAGGTAACCAGCTTATATGTTTTAACTACGTGTAAACTACCCCTAACTAAAATAAGCGTTAATCTTATTTTGTTTTACCCACAAGCAACCTTAGGCCACAGGGTATGGTCTGCAAGGAAGATTCTTCTTTGTACTGGTAAATGCTGGGTTTTACAGACAAATTAACTGCCTCCCTGCTCTTTGTCAGCAAAACAACTTTAAAAGCTCCCTTCACTGCGTACAGGATGCCTCTCCTCCAACAAGATAAAGTTCAAAAAACGTCCACTAAGAGTATTCACATTCTCATTGTCTGATCACAATGTAGAGAGCTAGTCACCTTTCCCAGACACAGGTCCCTGCTGGAGGCTCACGCAGACAACCACCTCTAGGGAGGCCCTATTGCACACCGACGATGCATTCCCCACCGCGGTCCCTACAGCATATGGGCCATTCGGGAGCTTGTGTAGTAAATCATCCCCCGAAAGACAAAGGAAAACGTTCACGTCGACTCCTCCCCAGGGCTTAACTGACTTCAGCAGTCACCAGGGAGAAAAGCTTGTTATTAAGGGAAGAAGACAAAGAAAATCAAGTATTTCTCAGTGAAGAGGGCATTGGACCAAAAGTTAAATTTGGCAGCCCTGGGGATACAAAGTTAAATGAGTACTGAAATTTTTGAAAATAGAAAATGATGGCCGTGGGGGGGCTCGGGGGTGGGGTTAGAGTAAAGCAGAAGAATTATGAAGATCGGGAGCATATTGCTAATTCAAGGGGGTAAAGAAAGCCATCTTTATTTCTTACTAGCTTATATTGTGGACTTTTAAAAATGAACACTTTGAGAATTTACTGTACCCCTAGCTCTTCAATAACTTCTTTTGGCCATTTACATCAATCAGAAAAGGTGGGGAAAGGAGAAGGAACCCCAGAACCTTACCAGCTCCCCCTCTCTGAACAATTGGGATAACATTTCATAAAAAGGCCCACACTTTTATCCCAAAATGAGTAATAATGCTTTAAAAAAATAATAAACTACAGGAAAATGCTAGTATTACATACATATTTTTAGGTAGGAGTGCTCTTTCTTACTATGATACAGTGATCAAAAAACATAAAGACAGGGGCACCTGGGTGGCACAGTCGGCTGGGGTCATAATCTTGGGGTTGTGGGATTGAGCCCCCATCCAGCTCTGTGCTCAGTGTGGAGTCTGCTTGGGATTCTCTCTCCCTCTCCCTCTGCCCCACCCGCTCGTGTTCTCTCTCTCTCTCTCTCTCAAATAAATAAGTCTTTTAAAAAAAAAAAAACCCATAAAGACAAAAATTAAAGATTCAGCTATATAAAAATATGAAATTTCTGTTTGATAAAAATATCAGTTTAAAAGCTAACAGGGGCATCTGGCTGGCTCAGTAGGTAGAGTGTGCAACTCTTGATCTCAGTTGTGCATTCAAGCCCCATGTTGGGTATAGAGATTAGATTACTTAAAAGTAAAATCTTTAAAAAGAAAGAAAGAATAAGAGCTAAGCACAAAGCAGGAAAATAATTATGGTGTATGACAAAGTTCTATATAAAGAACTCAACAAATCAATAAGGACCATACTAGGCAGGGGACCTTACAGGTGCCTCCTCCTTGTAAGAAAAATATAAATAGCCAATAAACACTTAAAAATTTTTACCTTATTTAATAATTAAAGGAATACAAATTAAAAGAATCAAAAGACAAGTTTCACCCTAAATTGTCCAGGGTTAAAAACTTTGCTATCCTCTAGAGTCTTTGATAGTATGAAGAAACAACTACTCATGTATTTTGGTGTGACATATTCAAGGGCAAAAATACCCATGAAAACTTTAAGTCCTTACAGCTTCTGAGCCAGCATCCCACTGCTAGGAAGTTAACCCCTAGAAGTATGCGCACTGGTGAGACAGGATACCTGCACAAAGATACTTACTGAAGCAAATTCTTTATCAGAACAACAAGAAAGAGAATAAAACTAAATTTCCATCACTATGGGATTGATAAGCTAAAAAACATCAGTCAAATGGAACACTTTAGGGCTCCTTTGTAAAATAAGCAGGGTTTAGGGGCACCAGGCTGGCTCAGTTGGATGAGCCTGTGACTCTTGATCTCGGGGTTGTGAGTTTGAGCCCCAAGTTGGGGATAGAGAGTACCATAAATAAACTAACTAACTAAAAAAATGAGAGGGTTTATAGCCACTGAGATGAAAAGAAGCCTATGCTATATTTTTAGGTGGAAGTACCTTATAGAAGAATATGTATAAAATATGCAGAATAGGGGGGCACCTGCGTGGCTCAGTCAGTTAAGCATCTGCCTTCGGGCAGTTCATGTTCCCAGGGTCCTGGGGTCAAACCCCGCATGGAGCTCCCTACTCAGCGGGGAGTCTGCTTCTCCTTCTGCCCCTCCCCCTGCTCTCTCTCTCTCTCAAATAAAATCTTCTTTTAAAAAGCAGAATAGGGACACCTGGGTGGCTCAGTTGATTGAGCATCCTACTCTTGATCTCAGCTCAGGTCTTGATCTCAGGGTCGTGAGTTGAGCCCCACATTGGGCTCCGTGCTGGGTGTGGAGCTACTTAAAGAAAAAAAAAAAAGAACATGCAGAATATATAGAATAATCATACTTTGGGGGAGGGGAGTATGCTTGTGTGCATGTCCATAATAAAAAGAACACACAGCAAACAATAATGAGTGAAAGTGGCCCTGGGGACTTCTGCGGTTTTGATGAACAATGTCTGCATTGCTTGAACTTTTATTAGCATTTTATTTTTATAACCAGAAAAAAGAATATGGTATACAAATTTTTTTAAATGAGGTAGCCTCAGTAAAAGCATGCAGAAAACAAAACAGTCACCCCACAGAGATCACCTGGGTCAAGCTAGACCAGGCCAGAAAGTCCCAAAGAAGGATAAAGAGGGGCTGGAGGATGGTGAGCTTGTTACAACGCAGAGCATGTATGTACAGGAACACTGAAGACAAGCCCACATCCGAGCCCGGAGTTCTGAGGGCACAGAGACCAGATGGAAAACAGGGTCCCAGGAAGGGAGCGAAGATAAGCATCCAGGGGCCCTCAGCCAAGAGGAAGGGAGAAGCAGGAAGGGATCCCAGACTGCGAGTCCAGTACAGATGGATGGATTTGCGCCAGTGACACAGAGCTTGGTCTGAAGCCAAAAGTTGCTGCTTCCTGTCCTTAGTAAGATGAGGAGCGCTGGCGGGAACGCAGAGGGAAGCAAGCTCTGTAGGTGGTGGTAGCTGTTGGTGTTGGCAAAAAAGGCTAGGATTGCTTCCCAGCTGGCTTTCAGTTTGCTCTTCTAAGTCACAGGTAATTAGACACATTTGAATGTGTCTTGAGGAGTCTTCCAGAACATAATGGCTTTGTTGTGGTCCCCTCACCAATCACCTGTATTTTCAGGAACTTGTCCAAGCTTTCCTTTATTTACCCATTCGCCTCAATTTTCACTGAGTGCTCCGTGCAGGTTTCCAAGCTAAGTATGGAGTTGGTTGGTGGAGGTGAATAATAAAGGTGGTTCTGGCACAATTTCTTGGCCCAAGGAATTCCCAGGCTGGTGGTAGAATAAAGAGAGTGAGACAATCACACACTTAGGGTATAGTGTGATAGCAAACTAACTCAAAGTCAGTTTTTGCATGGGCATGTCTACTATAATGCCTACTATAATCCCTACAATCCCTACTGTAATATCTACCATGCCTGACACATAGTAGCTATCTAATGAAGTATTACTATTCTTATTATCAAAGTGCCATAAAATGAATATAAGTAAAGTACAATATAAATCAAAGATCCTTTCCCATGAATGGAAAAATAAGAATGATAATATCTCACAGAATTATTGTGAAGGTTAGAAATAATGTTTTCCTTCAAATTACTTAAACATACAAAGAATAACCACTGCTAAACTCTACGAGTAGCTGAAGTAAACATGAAAACAATTGCTGCTTATTCTTTAAAAAAAACAAAAACAAAAAACCAACAGCACCGTTGTTGCTTTTTTTTTGGATGCACAAGAGTGGGTAGTAAATGTTTCTCCAAAGAACGTTCAGTGGACTTTTTTGTTGCCACGTGCACCCACCAAATAGGAGTGTTAGGAATTCTTGGCCTTAGAGCATTTCTGGTCTGTGAAGCTGTTTGTTTCTTGCTTAACATAAAATCTTTCTGTAGCATATTTTGAAAAATCCATTGGAAGTAATACTGTATTTCCGCCCAAATTTGCTCCCAATAGGGAAGGGGGCTCAATTCCTTTGTAAGAGTCTTGGGTCGGGAGGGGGGAGGAGGGGGGTCTTAGGCCGGTGGTATCATCAAGATACTAACCACTTAGGATATGTGGCCCAAGGAAAACAAAATTATCTGGGCCTGATAAATCGCCTTTTACCCCATGAGAAAGGTCCCCAGTCTTCAACCTGAATGATCAAGGATGAATTGGTACTGGCCGATACTCCCTTGGTCCACTGATACAAGGCAGCTCTAGCCCTGCACCTGTCCCCACCCTCAGCCTGGCCTTAGCATGGACTTGGTGGTTCAATCCATCAATAAATAAGACTTCACTGAACATCCTTTATGTGGTCACGATGGTGTTCAGCTCTGTAAGAGCTATGCCAAACAGGGAGTGCCCTCGGGTTGGCTCTGCCAGGAGATAGCTCATTGAACTGCCTGAGCTGTGGAGTCTTGCTCTTCAGTCCTTCTCTGTGCTTCACTTCCAGAGGGTTCCACATCTAACAAAGATTCTGGCCAAGAGTCAGAGTCTATCCCAGAGTATACAGCAGAAGAGGAGCGAGAAGACAATCGGTTGTGGAGGACGGTGGTGATTGGAGAACAGGAACAACGGATTGACATGAAGGTCATCGAGCCCTACAGGAGAGTCATTTCTCATGGAGGTAGTCAAGCTTTGTGAATCGGGGAGGTGGGGACCAGGGCAGCCATATATATATATATATATATATATATATACATTTTTTTTTTTAATTAGAAAATGAAACTAGGGTTCTCTGCATCATGACATCCTCAAAACCTATTCTGCAATCAGTATTCAGGGGACTGTAGAGCTAAGTACATTACCTCAGACTTAATTCTATAAATATTGCAAAGCCTGTGTAAAAAATAGCTCTCCGATGTGAAAACTGCTTTTTCACACCACATATCTGACAGCTATAATCTTCTGGGCAAATTTCTTGAAAACTATAGTTGTCCAATTTAATGATATCTGTTTGGAATTCATATGGGTCAGTCGTAGGGTATTTTTTATTGAACATTGTTAACATACGATATTATATTAGTTTTAAGTGTACGTCATAGTGATTTGACACACACACACATATATACATTATGAAATGCTCAACAGACTTCCAGTTATAAAATAAATGAGCCACGGAAATGAGTAGTACAGCACAGGGAATACAGTCAATAGTATTGTAATAATGTTATATGGTGACAGATGGTGACTACACTCACCGTGTTTGGGGGGTTTAACTGAATCGCTTCCGAGTCTCTACTACCATAGCCCTGTAGTAAGATCACTACCCCAGAGGTGCTTCTCATAACAAAACGGTCTTTCGAATCCTCTTAGGAGCTTTAGGAAGTCTCTTCAGACTCGGCCTGGTCGTTTTTTTCCCCTGCCTGAAGTTTGCTTTTCTATAGACTCCATTACATCCGGGCCTGACAACAGGCATTTCTGGTAAAAGCCTCCACCTCCTTAGGGAGGGACAAGGGAGAGAAAAAAAATTGTGTTCCGTATTTCCAGTGCTTTTTAGGAGCTCCAGGAGCCTTGATTAATTTCGGAATCACAAAAAGTCAGATGAGCACAAGCAACGCATTTAATGTGTCAACTTCAGAAAACGGCTTTTTTTATTTTTCTGCTGCATGCACTCCTTTCCTGCAGGCCTGAGGCACCACCCTAAACACTCAGCTGTTCCAGAAAAAGTGTAAGCTGACAAGGCAATTGTTGTTCTTTCTTCCTTAACAAGGACAGGGAAATAAGTGTCTTGGCGCTGCATTAAACCCATAGCTTTTGTTTTCTAACGAGCAGAAGGACATTTTGTTTTTTTCAATCAAACTTCCCTCCACCAGCCGATTATCCATCTTCCACCCTTGCATTGCTCCCTCCACGTAAGTATCAGCATCGGCCAGGGATCCCCACCTTGAGAGTGAAAGAAAATGCCCATAGGTGCCCCTGGCCATGACCTTCCTTTGCCCTGCCTCACTCTTTGTGACCTGAAATGGTAATATGGCCCATGATAGCTGCTGTGGGGCTGAAAGCCGTTCCCTCTAAGGGAAACCTTTCCACAGCCCTGCAGAATGAAAGTGGGCCTGCTCATGCTGCAGGGGACAGACCACGGGCCCTAGAGTCGACCCTTCCGTTCTTATGACGCAAACCACAACCTGAACATCATCCCAGATCTTCCCAGAAGCTCATCCCTCCTTTGCACCACCCATCGGGTATTTCTGGTTTGTTTGCTTTTTGGAAATAAAAAGAAAACAAAACGGAGGCTGACAATAAAAGTAGCCCGTGCCCATTCCAAAAAAGGTCAAAAACGGGAGAAAAGTCTGTCGAAGTAAATCACAGTCACCCAGTGATAATCCGTACGAATGTTTACCACTCTGGTCTTAAATGAAGAGCCCCTTTGTTGTGAAGAAGGGGCCTCACGGCCTCTCTGTTTTCCTGAGGCCGGATTATCTCTCCTTTCCCTGGCAGACTCACCTGCTTGTTCTTTCAACCCCGGCGAAAGCAGGTGGGTTGGGTGAGAGGGTTGAGCCCATCTATCGGCTGATCTGCTGCCCGAATCAGGAAAGATCATCAACACAGCAGGGTCAAAACAAAGCCACTGCTTCTGCCTCTCACACTCCTTGTGACAATGCAGCGCACCCCTCAGGGATAACGTGGTTCGCTGTGCCCTGCAAACTTGCCCCCCGCCCCCC